CCCTGCCTTGCGTTACACTCACAGTCCTGAAAGCCATTTAGCTTACATTGCTCAGTACTTGTTATTTAAAACTCCCTACAGCAAAACATTATTTCAGTGGTTTGTGGAATAAAAGTAACAAATTAAAACTATAATAATACAATTAGGATAAAGTAAGATAAAACAGGGCCTTAAAACAGTGCCAAACAGGAACATAAACACATCCAAGAAAAAAAAAGAGAGCAGAACATAAAAACGTAAAAGAGTTCAATTAAGGTTAAAAAGCAAGTTGGGAGAGATGTCATCAGGTTGTATAAAGTTATACAGAGTGTGAAGAAAGTTTTTTGCTATGTCACATTACTGGAACCTGGGGCCATTGACTGCAGCTGAATAGTCAACCATTCAGACAGATAAAAATAAGTACTGTATGTACTTCTTTACACAGTGGATGTTTAAAACAATGGCATTTGCTTTCACAAGATATAGCAATGGCCACAAACCAGGTGGCTTTAATGGAGGGGGGTTTAGACAAATTCATAGGAGCTAAAACTATCAAATCAAAATTGGTGTAGATCCATGGATTGGAATGCTTGGCTATAGAGCTGGAGACAGGAGTTTGAATCATCCTTGCATCTTGCAGGAAAGGGGCCAGCCAGGATAATCCGTAGCATGTGTGGCTGAGGGTGTCCTGTGTATTATCTTGGACAAGCATCAAGGTCCCAGAGCACCAGCAGAAGGAACCACCTCTGAGTATTTTAGTCTTGGATGTGGGAGTCACAGAATGTCAGAAATGATTTTATGAAACATAATAATGAGTTATCAATTGCTTTTTAGCTATGATGGCTATATCCTACCTGCATGATCAAAAGCAGCTTATCCCTGGATACCACGTGTTGGGAATTATAAGTGGGAAAGGGTGGCTTGCAGGTGTGGATTAGCTACAGTGGGAACAGAATGTTGGGCTAGAGAGATCTTTAATTTAGCTCAGCACTTATCTTCCTATTTTCTTATTAATACTAATATTAATCAGCCCTAAAACTGAACAGTACTCACACTTTTTTTCATAAATATGTCTATGCCTGACAACCCCAAGTTTTCTGAATTCCTAACGTATGATTTGGATTCCCAGCCTGGTATATGGGATAACCTGCCCTATGTCACAGGATGAAAGGGCGGGTTACTGAACCATATAAAATGATTTTAAAAGCGGAAGATTTTAAAAACAATTTAAGATAAAACACTTTAAAGCAAAATCCAAACATTTAGAATGCTGAAACCATTGTAAAATATATGCAGACTGCAACACTCAGCACCACAGACCTCCAATAAATGAGTATGTTTTGCTTTGGCCCCAAAACGATGTCATTGTTGACTGTAATTGAACCTCTGAAGGGAGAGCATTCCACACTTTGGGGGGCTACAGCCAAGAAAGCTCTCTCCCAGGTCTCCACAAAACGAACTGTTCTCAATAGTGAGACACACAGAGAGGAGGGCCTCCTCAGCAGATCTTAGTGATCCGGTATGTTAATATAGGGAGGGGAGCTCTTTCAAATATCCAGGTCTCAAGCCATTTAGGGTTTTTTGTTTTTGGTCACCATCAACACCTTGAACTCAGACTGGCAGCCAGTGCAAATCCTTTAGAACTGGTGTCACATAGGTCATGAAAGATGTTCCTGTTGGCAGTCTAGCTGCTTCATACTACATTTGCTGCAGCATCTGTGTCATCTTCAAGGGTAGCCTCTCACAGAATGTATTGCATTTTTATTCTTGTTAAAGCACTCAGAGTCAGACACCCTTGCTGACCTTCTGCATACTTCATGGAAATCCACCAAAAAGCCCAGACTACCTTCTGTCAGTGTCTGATTCAGGCTGCAACTGCACAATCAAATATTGCAGGATATTATAAAATGGCCAAATCCATATTTTATAAAATCTGATCACATGACACAAAGGCCAATTCACATCAGTCCAGCCCTGTTTTGCCTCCAACATGGAGTTTTTTCTCAGACGCAGAGGGCGTCTCCTTTTTTTCAAGCCAGAATGGTTCAAACATACTTTCCCCTGTGTGATTATTGTTTCTTTCTGCAATAGGGCTGGGTGTTGTTGGGGTGTTATAGGCAAATCGAGCATGATGTTTAGGGACTGCAGGAACACCCACCCCCATAATCTTTCCCCCAGGTATCCCTGTGTTTTGTTTTGGTTTTTGATTGAATAAATAAGTCTAGCACTGAGTCATTGCACTGATACACTAATTTAATGGTAGACTGCCTCCATGTCTGAAAAACAGAATTTTAAAAAAATGCTAAGAAATAGAAATACTCCTGATGAAATACTCCTGTTGTATGTGTTTCTTTGTATGTTATGAAGAAGAACTTTGGAAAGGTGCCGCATTTTCCATAATGCTGTGCAACCCTTTAAGAATTAAATGGCTTGGGAATAAACCCTAAAAGGCTCAGCAGAGGCAAAAACAGAGGAAGGAAGGAAGGAAGGAAGGAAGGAAGGAGGGAAGGAAGAGCGGTGTGATGAATGCTGAAATGTAATGCAGCCACATATTCCATAATTAAATGGCTTGGGAATAAACCCTAAAAGGCTCAGCAGAGGCAAAAACAGAGGAAGGAAGGAAGGAAGGGAGAGCTGTGTGCTGAATGCTGAAATGCAATTGCACTCCATCCATGTATGGACACTAATCAAACTAATCCGCAGCGCTGAATGATCACCAACAGGAGACTGTAATGTAAGATAGGCTATAATTCAAATTGCAGCAAAGCTGAATTGCTCCGATTTGGCTTGCCAGTGTCGTTGCAGCCTCAAGGAACCTTAGGGCTGGGAAGTGATCACACTTGCGTGCATTCAGAATGTCTCTATCCAGTACTGTCGTTAGTATTCAAACAGCTGAGACCAAAGTTTGTGTTCTGACTTGTTTTCTGACGCATGTACTGTATATGTACAGAATACATATGTAGTTTTGCTGATCCCTGGGTACATTTTAACTCTATGGCTTGTACACTGTGAAGTTGCTTTACGTTGTGCTTCATGATCAATTAGACCAATATGGGCTGGCAGTACCTCAAGCAAAGAGTCTTTTCAGCAATTCCTCTGTCTATTATGCTGTTGATTGGTGCAGAACAACCTTTTTTTAAAAAAACAGATGGCTCCATAATGTCCCATTGCTGTTCAAATGAGCTAGCAGCTTTTCTTTGAAGTACCCAGTTGAAACTGTTTTTAAGGCAATATTTGAGTGTTAGCTCTGGTTATTAATTCTGCCTTCATGATTAATTAATACAGAAAATATATAGAAGAGTACAACTGCATGGTATACAAGAAAACTGAGTGAAAGTATATACAATAATTACATACTTTAACAGAAGGCCCAAATGTGATTTCTGCCTTCTATAAGTTACATGGATATGTGAAGGAAATATGGCGAGCCTGTAGCATTTCAAGTCATCCAATGGTAGCTGCAGAAAGGGTTTATTACACATGATCAAAGCTGGTTCTGAATCTAGGCTGCATTGCAGTGTTGAAATGTAATCATCAGATCCACATTGAAATGTTAACTTATTCTTATGCTACATGTTTTATATAGTCAACCTACCCTGTACTCACAGCAGAACCCCATTAAACTGGGACTCCATAATCTGAGTCATGGAGATGCCAGGTCTGCTTTTGGGTAGTTCTCCAAATAATCTTGCCTGAGATTTATTTATTTATTTGATGTATATACCACTCCTCTAGTGAACACGCTACTCTGGGCAGTTTACTATTTAAAAACTCTGAACCCCACAGAGTCTCAATAGTGATACAGTACATCAATATGGTGGTACGACAATCTAAATCTAAAATTAGAACAAAACAAAACAAAAAGGCACAAGAAAATATATTTAAAATTAATATTAACAACATCTGGGAGATACATTACTAAAGGCAGTTTTATACAGCTCTGTCTTCACTAATTTCCTGAATGATAGTAGAGAAGAATTCTGGTGTCCCCCAGCTGGGAGATTATTCCACAAATTGGGGGGCCACTACCTAAAAGGTATAATTCCTTGTTGTTGCCTTTTTGGCCTTCCTCGGCGTGGCCATGGGTAGATTTTCCGAGAGAGACATTCTGATAAGTATCAAGGTTCTAAACTGTTAAGGGCTTTTAAGGTGATAACCAGCATCTTGAATTGAGCACAGAAACTGACAGGGAGCCAAGGCTGGAGATATATGATTGAACTTACTAGTCTCAGAAATGAGTCTGGCCATCACATTTTAGATCTGCTGAAGTTTCCCTACTGGTCTCAAGGGCAGTCGTATGAAGAGAGACAATAGTCTATTTTTGAGATTACCGATGTGTGGGCCCTTGTTACTAGGCATTTCTTATCCCGGTAGGGGCAATCAACTGAAGTTTATAAAAGACACTCTTAGCCACAGCCGATATTTGAACCTCTAAATAAAGTGCTGGGTCCAGAAGTACCTCCAAACTGCAGGACTGATCCTTCCAGGGGAGTGTAATCCCCACAAGACCAGATTTCAAACCACTCTGGAAATAATGAAGAAATCCTTTGGAAATCTCTGTTAACTCTTTAAAACAGCCAATTCAGAATAATATGAAATGAGGCTAGAGCCAACTTCAAACCATGCTTGTCAGATAGTTATCTTTGAAATAAATAATTCCTTTCCTGCATTAAGTTTGGCAACCAATAAGACTTTCACCATATGAGCCATATACTGGAAAGACATGTGAGAATTTATGATCTGAATCCATGTGTTTTTTCACTACTTGAATTGTTAAGCAGCATTGGAACATAAGGCCTTATTGGTTCAGGATTTTTAAAAACTATTTCAAAAACTAGGCCAGCAGATTTGAAAAAAATCCATTTTACTTGAAACAATGGAACTTCCATTTCCCATACCTGAAACGGATTCCCACTGCAAGCACAATATCAATTACTGTTATTTTTAGCAGAATATAATACCTTAAATCTCCCCTATCTATCAGCATGAAGTGCAACAGGACTTTATGTCAGGTTTGCTACATATGAGGAACAAATGATTTTTACCTCCCAAAACTGATAAAAGAGTTTCTGAGAACAAATCGTTAGAAGTTAATGAGCATGCTAATAAAATACTTTCACTTGCATCAATCATCATTTGTTTACCACTTCTGGTGTGAAGCCTCTTGTTTCAGGAGGATTATTTAACTTGCCAGTGTGGCCCCACTGTTATAAGTCCACTGGAACAGCAGCTTTAGAACTGGAATTTCTGGTATTATTGTCATCATAATGGAACGAGAGAGGCACCATTTTGTTCTTTGACTTTGGTAATGAAGCATCTTACTGTATGTTTGCCACCATTCTCTAAGAAGGCACAGAATACTTTGTTGATAAAAAAAATATTGCATGGACCAACAAGGCAGTATAAATGGAGAGAGAGAAATATTAGGAATTTTAATAGAGGTCATCACTGACATGAGCTCTGGCAAATATACTTGTCTATAATCAAAGAGTATCATCTCTGATGATGACACTGGTCAAAGCCTGCAAGTGAAAAAAAAAAAGAGGAGCATGCCCTTGATGCTTAAGTTCAAGAACTGCAATCCTAAAGTAGAATACAAGTACACATAGGCTTCATACTACTCTGTTTTCATAATCTCCATTGCATCTATGAGCTATTCTTAAGTCTGTCGTACTCTTGCTTAACTATATTCGCACATTTTACATTCTGCTTCTCTAGTTCCCATTTCCCTCCCTCTACTTGCTCCTTCTCATTGCTTGATCTTCCTGCCATTATTTCTCTGATACTTTCCTGCCATTGTTTATTTCTATTCAGCCCATATCTAAATCGCCCTTGTTCCTTCTCTCTCTTCACATCATATCCAGGGGGAAATATAAATGGAGGCACCAATTTTGTGTTTACATAAATAATCAGAGGAGTTAAAACAACCCTCCAAAGATTAATCATAGAATAATGGAAGGGGTCTATAAGGCCATTGAATCCAACCCCTTGCCCAATGCCAGAATCTAGAATCAAAGTATATCTGACAGATTGTTGCCTCATGTTCTCTTGAATTCCTCCAGTGTTGAAGCACTCAGTGAGGTGATTGGTTCCACTGTTCTACTGCTCTCACAGTTAGGACGTTTTTCCAGATATTCAACTGAAAGCTGCCTTCCTATAACTTGATCCTATTATTATGCGACCTGCACTCTGGGAAGATTGAGAAAGATATTCTGTCCCTCCTCTGTAAGACAATTGGAGCTGTACAAAACATATGTGAAAATCCCACTACAGAAAAAAATAAAGCCATTGTAAAATTAGTATATGGAACAAGGGTGAAATATAAAATCAAAGTTCCTTGCTCATTGTACTCCAGGTAAAGATGATATTGCAAAGAAATATCAGGAAAACACAACCACAGCATTTACATGGATGTGAGAAAGACAGCCAAACCTACAATAGTGTTCAATGCATTGTTTACCTATAATGTAAATTAACAAATAAATAACACAAAATAGAAGTGAAAACCTGTATTAAACAAATGAGAATATTAATACTGTATATCGTAAAATAGTAGTGTTTCAGAATATTGTAAAAGGAGAAAAAAATGAATATTATTTTATGCAGTTTGTTAATTGATAAGCATGTAAAAGAAAAGCAAAAGTGCTGTTCATTTTGTAAGGCATTAACCTCATGATTAGACATGGGGACAAATTGAAAAAAAAATTGCAATATTTGTAAAAAATCACTGATTCATTAAATACTTGTCCCTTTGTATTCATGAGTTCCAGAGACCGAGACAAATACAAAAGAATGAATATTTGTCCATTTTATTTGCCCCCACACAAAGAGAGGGAAGGCTAACCCATGGCCTTCTCATTCTGCCTATGGGCCTGCTGATCAGGTGATTGGTGGGCCAATAGGCAGCCAGACAGCCCCACAGCCACCTACTCCCACAGCCTATCCCCCACCCCTTTCCCCTCCCCACCTTAGCCACTGCCACCGTCTGCCACTGCCTGGCACCACCATCACCCATTGCTGCCCACTACCACTGCCATCCATTGCCTCCCCCTGCAATGGCCTCCACAGCCACAGCCTGCCATAAGGGACACTGGCTTCCCTTTGTAAAGATGGTGGCTGAGACTTCTTTTAGGGCAGGGAAGCTGCAGCAGCCATCTTTGCAGCGGGCAGCCTGAATCCTCTTATGGCAGGCCATCACAGCGAGACTAGGACATCAGAAGTAACGTCCTTGTCCAGCCCTCTCTATGTTATGCTAGTTTTCTACTGGGGGTTGGGGTCACGCTGTGCATTCTTTTTCTAAGGGAACATTCAAATGCTTCTTAAAGGGGCCAGTCCTGCTGAGATGAATGAGGGACGTGCAGCAATTTGACCCCTGTCTCAGCTCCTTCACATATCAATTTTGTTTGCCTGGCCCTGGTGCACTGCTAGCAAAACCCTCATGGGCACAAGTCATTGTAAGAGGCAACATTGTGTCCATGTAATGATGGTCAAGTGGAAACCATGGGTCATGTTTTACTGTACCGCCTTTTCTATAGAGATCCACACACCAACCTCCTGAGCCCAATCATACTCAGATATCCAGGGAGACCTGATGAATTTTACATCAAGCTACTGCTTTCTGATCAAGACTCCCTTATTACATGCTCTGCAACAAAATTTTGTGCAGGATCAATGGCACAGCAGATCAATGCAGTCTCCTGAGTTCACAGGTTGACTGGTTTTAGCATGAGGGTGGTTTATTGTCTAGCGTAGAGAAATGTTGTGGTCCCAACCAAAGGGACAATGGCTCAAAGGATAGCTATAAAAATGCTGCATTTTATTCTCCCCATATTTTACAACCAGTACACAATTAATTATTTGTTGTACACTTTTTAAATTACATTTTGTATATTTTAACCACATATGTTTTTTGAACTGACTATACAGTACATTTTTAACTGCATTTTGTATATTTTAGCCATGTTTTATCAGCTGGTCACCTGACCGTAATAAATAAATTCATTCATTCATATGTTTATATTTTGAATTTTAATGTACTAACAAAGCTCTCAGAGCTATCTGTGTGTCTTAATTTCATCATAAAACCAAAATAAATAATTTTGAGTAAGAGGCAACAGGATACTACACAATATGACATCAGACCTATAAATCTTTCAGGAGACCTGAAAAGGAATCACAATCCTTTCTACCATTTTGTGACCCTTCCACTTCATTTTCATTTCAATTTGTTGTGTAGTAGATCCATTCAATCACAGTTATTTCCAATATCAAGCCTTGATTTTCTCCAAGTAGTAAAGATTCAGAGCAGATTTCCCCAGCCTCAACTCTCATCAGGCCTAGCCAGCATAGCTCATGGCCAAATACGATGAAATGTGTAACTCCAAACACCAGGAGGTTAGGGAAGGCTGCTTTGCAATACAACCTTCAATAAGCAATGTCTTTCCTCAGCCCCATCAAGAGTTTTCATCTTATTCTTCTTGCAGAATAAGAATATACTAAATTTTTTTTAAGTTTAGTAATCTAGGACTTTCCTCTGGTACCTGCAAAGCACAATTTTGTCAGGGCCAGCAAAGTCTTGTTTGGGAAGCTTGAGAGTATTCTGCCACACCTAAACAAAAATGCTGTGAACTGTCACACGTTGAAGTTTCCCAGAGCACCCGGACAAACACTACATATGGCGCTTGCCACTAGGTGTGTCCACAAGCTGTTCTTTGCCTCCTGGACAAACTCTTAGCAATCCTTAGGGAATAACTTCCTCTCCAAGCTGTCATGTCAAATACTAAGCAGAAAGGTTGCTGCCTTTGATCTATGAAAGAAAGAAAACAGCTGGCACACACCCCATGCCTTTGTAGTTTCATAAATATAATGTATTTATTTATTTATTCCTGCTGAAGACTGCAGCTTCCTCACTTCCACTTTGTTTCTTGTGGACATTGGTCTCTTTTTCTTTTGCCTTATTAGCTCTTCCCAAAACAGCTGAATCCACTTAATTAAACTGAGCCATCCAAAGGGTACATAAGAATTGAGAAATCTCAGATTGGATTTTTAGGGTGGTGCTGTAACCAGATTGTAGGATAATCGATGCAGTGTAACCTTGGACTTGAATCTGTGATGAACAAGAACAAGTCATTGTTTCTTGGTCTAACTTACCACACAGTACTGTGGTGAAATTAAAATACGAAAGCTGGAACACAGTTCAAGAGGCACAGACCTCCTTGAACTCTTTGGAAGAAAATACGTGTTGAATACAAGCTTTCTGTTTCTTAAAAGTCGGCATCATAGTGCCAGCCAGGTCTCTATATAAAAGTTCTTCCAGTTAGCACAATTTTTGTTGGATTTAACCTTGAGGAAATGTTGAGGTGAGGTGCACCACCATCTTGGTTCACAAGCTGGCCCTGGGCATATCTGACAAGATTTTTCTACAGATTTCCAGAAGAATGTATATGGTGTTTGGAAATAAGCTATATTCATTCAGAGCTCTATAAATATGTAGCGTCTTTTGGTAATGGCAAGAAAGCCATTCATTTGCAGCTGTACTTTGAAATATTTTGTTTCGTCTAACCACAGACTTCCACAAGTCAAAGACTCCAGTGCAGATGAATATCAAATAATGGTGATAATAACAACACAAGAGATGATGAACTAAGTGGACAATTTGCCAGCACTGCAATCAGGGAAAGAATATGAACCAGTCTTTCTTGTGAAACAGAAGTTTAGAATGCAATCAATATCTTACCATTATTGGTACAATGATGCTCAAAGGAAAGCGGGTCCCCCATTAGACCTGTACCCAGCCCTAGCTCCAGCTCCTGTTCTGGCTGTTATACCACAGGAAAGCAATGTTTGCCAGTAAGTTCTAGCCACTCACACATAGAACAGCACTGTTTCAGGCTTCTAATGGGGATACACAAAGAACATTTTGTAGGGAGAGTAAGGGTGCAAATCAGACAGTGACACAGGATCATGTTTGATCACACTAGAAAGAGTCACTTTGCTGGGAGCAATCTCTCTTAAAGCAACTCTTCCATGAACACAGGAATTGCTAAAGCCTAGCTAATATATATATATAAATAAATAAAAGCAACCCTGACACTGGACCAAAGAGGTGTGGAGTGGTTCGAGATTTCCTGTATGTTGTCTGATCACCAGAAAAAAGCTCACACTGGACTGTGACAGAAGTGGTTCAAAATGTGAGCTATATTTCCATCTGATCGTCTTCCAATTCCAGA